TTACAATTAAAATTATCGAAAGAATTTTATATAAAATTAATAATGTTCCCAACATATTTCACTTATCATATTTATAGACTCTATGTTCATATTACCTAAAAAGTATGTATTATTACTGAAAATAAAGTGAACCAAAAAACATTATAATCTTGCATCATTATACTAGATTTGTTTTGATGGTTCTGTAGATAATTCAGTATTACATTTAATAAAGCATGTCTGCAATTATTCTTGACCAAAACCTTCTGTTTCTTCAATCGCATAATTTAACTTTTCTACTAGCTGTTCGTAGCTCTTGTATGGTGGTAGATCTAATCTATTGAAGCACGTATGCGATCTCGGTAACCATGTTTCTTTTCCTACTTTTTCTATGCAAAATCTTTGAGGTCCGTTGCTCCCTAAGAAATAGAAATGAACAAGATGCTCAACATAAACTATTAATACTTTCTGTTTAGTTGTTAACACTTACCCATTAATTCTGCAAAACCACCAACAGGTACTCGGCAAGTACCTGTTACAAATTGCAAAAGTCGAGCTCGCTTTTCACTGTCCGTTCTTGTTACAAACTAAATATTAAGTACAAAATTACTTAGCACAATCCATATTTATACTAGTAAAGATATACTACTCAAATGTAAAAACGAACCTGCCAAAACCATAAAATTTGTTTACTATTACGTGTGTAATGTCTGTAAATTGTGTTACGTTGCCAATCTTCTACATCTATTTCTTGCATTCCGCAGAGCATAAGTTCCAATTCTCGTTCATCAAAATACTTCAACCATTCCAATGGTACAACTGAGTTAAATCCTTCCAAGAAAGCTTTAGTTTGGTCCTCTATACCCCTTGTCATTCTCCACTCAGTCATTAACCTTATAATAAAAAATAATATTAATAAATAATAACTAATTCTTATTTAAACTATTAGTAATATGTATGTAAGTCACAGAATCAATAAACAAATGCATCATGCACAGTTAAAACATTAAAATAAATTTTAATAGTAGTTTATACCTGATATATTCTTCCTTATTTTCTTCAACAACCCTAATTTTATCACCTCCTTCTTTCAATTCATGATGTATGACTTGGCCGAGAATTTCGAAGTCAACACTATAATACAATTCTAGACCACATTCGTCAATGTTATTTTCTTTTATCCACACAAGAGATTTATAGAATTCTGGGTCAATAGATTCTATATCTTTCATTACTAATTTTTTGTTTAACATACGTTTATAAAATGGCATAGTGAAACCACTATAAATAAATCGTCCATGATAAAGTGCCTGTAAGAATATATCTTTTATTAAATGTAAAATTTGAATATGGTATTTTCGACAATAAAAATCAGTGAAGGAATACCATTGCTATGAACCTTCCAATAAATTTAAAGTACTGCAAATGATCAGGATTGACATAAGATGCTGGATTAATTTGCAAGCTGTAATTACTTTTATTGGCATATTCGAATAGACAGTACATTGGATTTAACACTTCATGGCTTAATAAGAAAAACCATTCTCTGTAACAAAGATTTATAACTTATAATTTTGACTGAAACACATTATTATTATATTAATTAACAAACTCTTACCTGGATACACCTCCATAGTCCAGTCCTTCCTCTCCTTTAAATATTATATATAATCTGCGTCTCAATACAAAAGCTTCCGCATTCATTATTTGATGATAAGAATCTTCAAACAACGTTTGTCGATTAACGTTAATTTTAATGTGATTTGCCACAGCATTCGTTTGACACAAGAAACGGAATTGTGATAACTTCCATCTAAACGATCTTTCGTATGCTCTTGGCACACGGTAAATACCTTTACCACTACACAATGAAATCGTAATAACAAGTATAAGGATTAGACAACTAATCTTTTAGATATTAGATATTAGATTGGTCCATAAGTTTAATAAAATTCTTATTACCTTGGCACACCATAGTTTACAAAAAATTAACCACTTTATTACTCGCATGGAACGAATAAGTGAACAATCGCATAACAGGAGAAAACCCAAGCTTTCAAATGACATATGGGACATAATTGTTAGAAAATTATTATGCAGAAAATTTAAATCGAAATTAAAACCGCACGAACTTATGAACCGATCCAATACATCAGGAAAATTAGACTAACCCTTTTGGTGCACCAGGTCTTGGATCTTGGAATGTAGTTGTTCTTGTATTATGATCTACAAAATATCGAACTCCATCTTCGGTTAAACGTATTTCCCAACCATCTGGTAATGGTGGTTCATCAATTCCTGTTTCTTGGCCTTGAGTTCTAGGATCTTCCCACTGTGTAGTACGATTTTTATGGTTCACATAATAAACTCTTCCTTCTGGTTGTTTACGTCTTTCCCATCCTGCAGGTAATGGTCCCAGAGCATCATCATCATCAACCGTAAACATTGAAGGACCTGCCACAGCTGCTTGATTTCCATGTGCCTATATGTATTGAAATTAACACCTTCCAAACTGTGCCATGACTTTTGATACATAAGTAGTATGTAATATAAACTAATGTTTAATATATATCCTTATTACTTACTTGAGGATAAAGAAACCGCTGATTACCTTGTTGAACCACATGTTGCCTCTCACCTTGCCAATGTTGGAAATGCTGTAATCTTTCAGTATTCGGTCTCTGCCATGTTGTACTTCTAGTATTATGATCCACATAATATATTCTGCCTCTTGGATCTCTACGCACTTCCCATCCTAATGGCAAAGGCTGTGGTCTTTCCCATGAAGTGCTTCGTGTATTATGGTCAACATAATATCTAATCAAAAATACATTAAACAGAGAAAAGACTGTTACACATTTTTTCAGAATTTAAAACTTTAATCAAATCATTCAAATTCAGTATTAAATAATCCTTATACAATTTTTTATTATAATTATACAACCTTCTTCCATATATGTCATATCTCATTTCCCAACCAGGGGGTGAAGTTTCTTCAGGCTGAACTGTTGGTTCAGCTATCTGACCACGTGACACAGCAGTTTGTCCTGTTAACGAAGCTACACGCTGCACCACTAAAGGATTCGAAGGAGTAGTTGACGCGGATGTTGTTGACTGTTTGGGTCGTACAACTCTGCGTCTTTCTGCAACTGGTACTAATGCAGACTGGTCTGTACGTGTCATTCTACGACTATCTGCCACATGCAATCCTGAAGACTGTTCTGAATGAGATGTAGAAGATCCTTCTGGTAATGTAAATACTCCAGATTGATCCGTTTGAGAAATTCCTTGATTATCTGTTGCAGTAGATGTTGCAGGTTGATCTGCTCTAGAAACTACAAATCCATCTACTGTGGGAGTAGGAAGTTGATCAGATCTTATATTTCCAAAACTATCTGATAAAGGAGTAGTCAATAACTGTTCTGTTCTAGAGTTACGTCCACTAGATGCAGGTTGATCTGTTCTATTATGTGACCGTATGTCTGCATTAGTTGATCCTAATTGATCTGATCTGCATATTCCAACTGCTCCAGATAGTGTTGATTGTTCTCCTTGAAAAATATCATAAGCTCCAGAGACAAAATTTCTTAGAAAGTCTTTTGCTACAATTGTTTTAGTACACATACCACTCCTGCCATCTGCTGTTCCAGGTGTAGCTGCATGATCTGTTCGAGATAGTTGACGTCCTTCTAACAAAGACATTGTATGACATCCAGATAGAGAAACAACAGATTTGTCCATGGGTGATATTACATGTCCATTTGATAAAGAATTAGATGCTACAGATTCAACCTGTTCACTATTTTTATCAACACTGGTTTGATCATTTCCGGTATTATAATTAATATTGTGATAAGTATTTGTTAATCCACGAAAAGCAGAGGATGGTACATTTTCAGCTCCTTGTAATCTCATGCGAGCACGGACACCTCCATTAAGAATGCTGCGGTTACTAGCAGTATCATTATTTATAACACCTAGAATATAGTTACTTAACTTTGAACAAGAAACATGGAAAAACTATATTGTATGTAGTTTTGCTTTTAATATTATTTTTGTAACAAATAGTACTTGTCCATAAGAATGTTTCTGTCTATTACTATCTCTTTCAAAATATGTCATAGATTCTTACCATCAGGAGGTGTGCATTGTGTTTGACATGGTGATTCATTAATACTTAATGACGATATATTTGGCATATTAATTCTTAACCCGTCAAAAAATGTAATTAGTTCTCCAACTTTGCACAATTGAGAATCATGTTTATTTTCACTCATTAAAGCAAAGGTTACTTCCATATTTTCCAATTTCCCATTGTAGTGAGATAGTACTTCAGAAAGATTTATTTTTTTCTCTCCTATTAATGTATCTTTACGAAATGTGCTATGATCTAAGAGACGAAAATGTAATTGAGAATATGGTGTTACAAGTATCGTAAATTCTTCGTTCCATTTCGGTTGATATGTGGATTTTGAAACTTCTGTTTTCCTAGGACTCTTATCATCAACGGAAAATTCTATATATGGATTTGGTTTCAAGAATGTTGAACTTTTTAATATAGCACTCTCAACTACAATAAAATAGAATTTTATCAATAACTAATAAATACTATTTTCTATAAAAATCTTAAACATTATTAAAATAGAGTTGTAAAAAATATAAGGAATAAATAATAATCCAATAATGTATATAATACAGAGTAATTAAACAATTTATATATAAACTTAAATTTTATCAAAAACATATGTGATCGCTTTAATTATCTTTTTAACCAATATATGTTATGACTTACTTGTAATACTTAATTGGTGGAAACCAGATGATGCCACTTCTTCTTCACAATGGGACATTGTGAAAATTTAGTAAAATAATTTATGTGAATTCATAATTTGTTTACCTAGAATGTGCACTATTTATGAAAACAACTATTAATATGCATAAATCTATGCAATGTCATATACAATGTATCACAAATACACATCAAGACGAAAGTAACATCAGATAAAATTAGAGAACTACTACGAAATATTGATAAATATTCTATATTAGCAGAGAAAAGGTATAAACACTTGATTCGCTCACGGAATATGTCAATTCGATTGCACCATTGTCCAAACTTCAAATACGCAAAAAATTGTCTCAAAGATATTCCCTCATAAAAGTAAACAGAAATATGAAGTTTCTTTAGAAAATCGAAATTGTATAATTAATGGTAAATATACATAACATCACGCGAAATAATACATATAAAAATAGAATGATTATTGAAATGAACAATATTAGATTTTTTAAAAATTGTTAGAACGATCAACTTTTCAATAATTGAGTACTGTAATAGACACAAATGATCAGGGGGTAAAGTACAATACATACGCGTATAACTGAAATAGATTGTTTCAAGTGTGTCCAACTCCGATACATTGCCTGTTCTTTACACTATCAATATTTTTACTTGAAAAAATTCTTCGACCACTACGATATTCGTTTTCGCAAAACTTCTTTATCAGTAGGTCACCATCTTTTCATACGTCAAAGGTAGAAATCTCGTAATATGCAAATCACTAGGCAAACTAGATACATACACCTCTGAACACAATATATTCTAGTTCATCCCACTTCTGTCTCTTAGAAGACGCTTCGAAAGACGACATTCCTATCTATGTGACAATGTTCCGTGGCGTAGATGATAGCGTTACGCGGACATGGCTATTCTCTTGTATGTACATACTCCATGCACAGTAAGTAATACATACTTCAAGTTTTCAAGACTTTCCAGCCACCGTGCGCTCCATTAGCAAGAATAGGGGTAGAAATTGCTTTGCTCTAATTGGCTGACGATTCAATGCTAAGGAGGGGATGCAATGGAGGGGATGTTTGCGAATCTAGGGGAGGTAGAAAAATCGTGCAAACCCTATGGTATTACTGTATGTCTGCATATATAGGGCGTCTCACCAGTGTTGCTAAGTCCAGTGCGGTTTCAGAACCGTGTAAAGCTGGCTCACCGTAATAATGAAACATAGTTAAAAAATAGCTCTTTAATTGCCCATTATTGATCTGTAATTGCAAAATTTCTTTAACGCGACTAGGGACTTTCATGAAAGGCTGGAGACTTACAATAAGACGAAGTTTTTGAAATGCATAAAACATGCTGTACAAAATGTCAGATCACCGCTCTTTAATTACTGTGTGTGTGATTGTTGTTCTGTAATTACTTTTAATTGCTTACTTCTACTTTTCAAAAAATTTTCAAGCCCGTTATTGTAATCCGAAGTAATTAATTCGGATTAACAGAACAACAATCGGCAAGCAAAGAGCAATTATTTCAGAAAAATTTCGTTCTATTAAAAAGTTCTAACTTAGAGTATGCTCTAAGGGTTCTAACCTCTCATAAAAGTTCCTAGGCGTTTCAAAAGAGTTTTTTGGATATTTCTCAAAATGGATAAGTGAGCAATTATGGGCAATTAAAGAGCAATTTTTTGAGTTATGTTTCATTAATATTGGTTACTCTGGTGAGCCAGCTTCGAAATTAATTTGTTCGCAACAGAGACAGAGCATTTTCCAAAAATGTTTTAAAATGTGCTGCAGAATGATGGAGGGGAGATCTCATTTAGGATTGAATAATGCCACTTTGCAGCACATTTCAGAAATTTACACAATTTTCCAAAATGTTCTATCTTTGTCGCAGACAAGTAATTGCGAGCCTAGGTATATTTCTGCAATTGTCTGCAATTTCGAAAGACTGACACATCGATTGACACCGATAATGTACTAAACTTGTGACTGCCTGACGTTTGGCGTATGCAGATTACAATGTTTTACAAAGAGATGTGACACAGATCTGTTTATTAACAAAAATATTAAAAATTGATTGATGAACTTCCAACTAGAATATAAGATCTGGTCATAAACATTCCAAAACATGTAGACAATTTAGTAAAATGGTAAAGTAATATAATGATAAGGGCATATTGTTTAAAATAACATTGTTAAACATATTTCATCTGAATTAGACTATATATATAATTTTTAATCTTTCTTTATTTTAGAACTGTTTTGACATGTATTATATGTGATGCATAACAGGTAAAAGTACCAAAATTGAAAAATTCTGGAAGACCAAGATGGTTATTTCTTAGATTTCATGAGTATCCAGGAGAGATGGTACCTAGTAAAATTGAATTTTGTTAATGTTAGGATATTTTAAGTAGTGTTTACAAATTTTATTCCCTATGTTGAGTACATGAGGGTTATGATTAATGCTAATAAGAGATATTAAGCAGATAAAAAAGTCAAAAAATGTAATAAAATTTTGATTACTACTATTGAAGGCAATGTCAACAGCATCTGTGAGTGCAATACACTCAGCCATAAAAATAGATGCATTTTTACTTATGTTTTTTACCGCTGATATGTTCAAATTGTGGCAGACACAGGTTGTTATAACCACAGTGGTATCCTTAATTTTATTCTAATTTGTGAATATAAAAAGTACACCTTTTTTATGCAAGAAATGTTTAATTAAGAGGTTGGATTCTTTTAGATTTAACCATAGTTCGACCAAAGTCAACGTCAATATGAACTTCATTAAGTAGGGTGAAATAATTATACTTGTNATTGGTTACTCTGGTGAGCCAGCTTCGAAATTAATTTGTTCGCAACAGAGACAGAGCATTTTCCAAAAATGTTTTAAAATGTGCTGCAGAATGATGGAGGGGAGATCTCATTTAGGATTGAATAATGCCACTTTGCAGCACATTTCAGAAATTTACACAATTTTCCAAAATGTTCTATCTTTGTCGCAGACAAGTAATTGCGAGCCTAGGTATATTTCTGCAATTGTCTGCAATTTCGAAAGACTGACACATCGATTGACACCGATAATGTACTAAACTTGTGACTGCCTGACGTTTGGCGTATGCAGATTACAATGTTTTACAAAGAGATGTGACACAGATCTGTTTATTAACAAAAATATTAAAAATTGATTGATGAACTTCCAACTAGAATATAAGATCTGGTCATAAACATTCCAAAACATGTAGACAATTTAGTAAAATGGTAAAGTAATATAATGATAAGGGCATATTGTTTAAAATAACATTGTTAAACATATTTCATCTGAATTAGACTATATATATAATTTTTAATCTTTCTTTATTTTAGAACTGTTTTGACATGTATTATATGTGATGCATAACAGGTAAAAGTACCAAAATTGAAAAATTCTGGAAGACCAAGATGGTTATTTCTTAGATTTCATGAGTATCCAGGAGAGATGGTACCTAGTAAAATTGAATTTTGTTAATGTTAGGATATTTTAAGTAGTGTTTACAAATTTTATTCCCTATGTTGAGTACATGAGGGTTATGATTAATGCTAATAAGAGATATTAAGCAGATAAAAAAGTCAAAAAATGTAATAAAATTTTGATTACTACTATTGAAGGCAATGTCAACAGCATCTGTGAGTGCAATACACTCAGCCATAAAAATAGATGCATTTTTACTTATGTTTTTTACCGCTGATATGTTCAAATTGTGGCAGACACAGGTTGTTATAACCACAGTGGTATCCTTAATTTTATTCTAATTTGTGAATATAAAAAGTACACCTTTTTTATGCAAGAAATGTTTAATTAAGAGGTTGGATTCTTTTAGATTTAACCATAGTTCGACCAAAGTCAACGTCAATATGAACTTCATTAAGTAGGGTGAAATAATTATACTTGTATACATTATAACAATTAGAAGAATGTATACAACCAGTTAAATTATCTTGATCTTTTAAACATTGAAGTGTTATAAATTAATAGTCCTGTGTTAAAATGGATTTTAAAAAGATATGAACGGTATTTTCTAATTGTATTCTTATTATATACTGTATATAGTGTTGTCGAATTATTCGAGCTATACGTGATTGGAGTATAAGTAAATAAATATGTCTGCATGCAACGACTATCAGGTTCAAACTTCTGAAAAATATAAGTATTAATTACGTAATTTTATTTATTTTATATCTTTTTTATATTTAAATCTTTATCTTAAAGTTACAGGGGTGGGACCCAGTAGAAACGTGGAAGAGTAGGACCCAATAAGTACATGCAGGAAACCATTACAATATTTGACAGAATATTGAAACGTGTGTGTCTGTTTAAGGAAGATTTATTACCACAGTTAAAGGTTGCAATATTACACTATTGATTAAACGTGAAAAAGATGAAAATCTGTCAATATAATAGACAGTTTAAAGAAATCCTATTATGTTGACTGATACAGACTTCGAGCTGAAACTACTCAAAAGTAGTAGCAATAGGAAAAACGAAGACAATGACAGCAACAGCAATTACGAAGCGTTTATCACAAAACACGTTATCTTCAAGGTCGATATGTACACCGTTAAATTAAAGAATGGTATTATACCGGAGAAAATTAGTATATCGCCGGAGAAATGCAACATCCGGCGATGTACTAATTTTCTCCAGTGTAATGCAATAGAACAACACAAACGATTAGCTACCAAGCATCTCCTTCGATACCGAAATAAGTTTTCTAGTGACGCATCAATTGTTTAACCAACAAGTTTATGGAGTTTAGCGAGTTCATAATTTTGGAGAAGCAGCTGTTAGGTGATAGTGATGATGATTGATTAAAAAAAATATGCTCCAGAGGTGAAGAAACGGCTACGAAGTTTGAATCTCATAGCCGTTTCTTCACCTCTGGAGCGCGTGGTCGCCGAATCGTACAAGAAACTCTGCAAATTTGAGTAAGAAATAGCAACATTACATCTGTAAAAATTGCACACCAAGAGGCACTGAAGAGGATTTCTGAGCTGGAGAAACAGAGAAAGAAATGAACTCGAATGCATCAATACTAAATTACTAGCTAAATTAAGTCAAAAGACATCCGAATTGGAATCGACAGCAACCTTGGAGACATGAATTCTTGGACAAATGGAATTTGCTTTTCTTTTAAATGTAATAAAAGACTATTTGAAATAACTTAAAATATAAATATGAAATATAAAAAGATGATATACAACTATTGTCAAAATTATATTGTAAAACAATAGTTCCACTCAAAGTCTGTGACATATTAGATAGTTCAATGAAACTCTATTGATCGAGACATAGTTTCCATTGTGTTAGCAGATTATTGTCTTTTATAAATTTTCTTCCAATGGATATGCTCGTTTCAGTATTCTGTCAGATATTTAAACGGTTTCCTGCATGCGTGACGTTCTCTGTAAATATATATAGGGATGGTGAACTGGAGAAGAGAAGTCGTGATTAACAGAGAGAGGGTAGCTGTATTCCCCTCAAAGTTGTTTATACGCTATCCGTTATCGATACGCATGGTTGCTATGACGACGAATTATAAACGTTTCCACTGAATTCCAAATATCTGGCTCTACGAACCGATTTATCTATCAGAGAGCAGTTTAACGAGTAAATAAAGAGCAGAAATGGCGATGAATAATAATATAGATACTGTTTTAAGCCTTCTAGGGTGGGAAGATGGATTCAAAATTCCAGTTTCAAATGCGGAGAATAAACAATTAGAAGAAGAAGTATGCAAGTCACTTACGTTAAATTAGTTTCATTTATTTCACATAGTCAGTTTTGTTTTCACAATTTACTTACACGCTTTTGTTTTCTTTGCTTTCTGTTATATATTATTATCATATTGTGAACTGTATACAAAATAGACATAATAAATCATTCTTGCATTTTAATTTCTGTTAAGTTATCTATGTATATAGTGGCATAGTAAAATGCCTCTAATAATAACAAAATGTACAGAAACTAAATGTTTATATTATAATTTAAATATTATGCTTTGTTCAGCTCGAACACTTGTTTTAAGATACGATTATTTATATTACGGAAACTAATTGATTAAATTTGTTTATGGGAGGAAGATCGAAAGCAAAATGAAACTGAAAGAAAATTTAAGTGGGAAATTCCAGTCTGCGAAGGAAAAACTTACAATGATGAAAAATCGTCTAAACACTTTGAAAACGGAGCAAGATATGAATCAAAAGCTTCTCAACACGCACTCTGTGCAACTTGAAACTGAAAACCACCATTACAGACTGAACTGCAGCACAGAATCGAGTTTGCGGCAAGATGCGCGAAATTTTGAAAAGGAATGGAAGAAAGTGAATGAGGCAGTGACAAATGTTACAAAAGAATTAGAAAAAATGACAAAAAAGATTGAGGCAGCAAAAAACGCGGTAAAATACGATGAAAAAAACTTGAAAGAATGGGAAGATTCATTGAATCAAAACGAGGATAATAATCAACTTATAGAACAATATCTGAAAGAAGATTCGAAAGAGTACAATGTGAGTATAAGATTGCATCATATATTATTGTCCAACAAATTTGAATTTTTTTACGTTTTCATGCTCTGAGCCCAAAAAATGTTTATTTCCATTACTCCATTATTGATACTTAATTTTAAGAAATCAATCAAGTTTTCAACTTATTCAGGCTCACAATCTTCAAAATGAATATTAAAAATACCTAAAGAAGTTGATACATATTTTATTTGCATGAAATACATTTAAGAAGCAATATTTTAAAATGTACATTATTTGGGAAAGTCAATAGAGTGGTTTGCAGTAAAATATTTGTATTACTTAACAGTTGAAGCTCACAAACCCTTAAAGTTGAAAATATGTTTGCAACACAAATAATTTCTCAAAAGCTGAGAACTATGGAGAAAACCATCTTTTAGATTTGTATTCAGCATATTAAAATTGATAAGAATCATTTAGTTTTTTCTGCAACTTGCGAAGTTGTTCATTTCTTAAACAGCATAATTAAGCTTATGATACCAAAAAATATTAGTTGCTTCACTTTTCGTCAAGCAGGAAATGGAATTGAAAAGGCAGAAACTGTGTAAAGAATTGCAAACCTACCGTGAGGCAATTATTAAAATAACTAATGAAGGACGAGAGACTGAAATTGTTCTTGATCGCACAACCAAATTGTACAATCAAGCGTCAGCGGACTATCGACAAATATGCAATCAATGGAGGGAAAGTGTTGTCATGTTGCAACAGAAAAACGACGATATTCAACGTGTTCTTAAAGTACAATTAAATAGTTAATTACCAAAAGTATTTTCTTTGATTTACAATGTTTTAACAAACACATGTTATTTTGGATAGGAAACTGAATCACTGCAAGAGATCACACAAGATAAAAGAAATGCACTTGAGGAATCAGAGAAGTTTTTAAGGGATCAAAGAGAAAACAATAGACAAGTTGAAGAATTGATTAAAAAATTGGAGAAAAATCTTTGTAATATAAAAGAAGAACAGCAAAAAGCAAAAGAAACGCACAGTGCATATGAGAACCAAGTAAGGGTGCAAGTGAGAAGATTATTGTTTTTAGACAAAATTTTTAAACTACTTTTCCTTTAAATTTTAGCTTGTCATACAAAAAAATATCATAAAAGAATCTACCAACCGTGTGGAACATCTACGGAATGACATAAAACGCAAAGAGGCTGAAATTCAAAATAAATCAATGAAAATCGAGAAGTTAAACTTGCAAGTAGCTGAATTAACCAAAAAATTGCAAGATATTGGTGACCAAGAATTAGATATAAAAGAAAAAGCAAAAGAGCTAGAAAAGATGTTTCAGGTATTTATTTTAGTAAATTTCAAAATTTATATGTAGATTTTAATGATTAAAATAATAATAAACAATACATAATTATTTGTATAATAATAAGTTAGTATATCATATAGGAACAAGAAAAGAAGAAAGTTACAATAATTAAAGAAGTAAACCGATTACAAAACGCAAATTTGCGCGTTAGAAATCAGATACAAAAATTAGAAGATGAAAGGAAGATTGCAAGAATGCAGTATCTGAATGAATCTAAAAAGTACGAATATTTGGACAAGCTGTGTTCTAAAGATGAAAAGATTTTGGAGGAAGCGAAGCAAACATTATATCAAGTGGATTTCGAATTACAAAAGTCCGAAATGAAATTAGATAGATTAAGAGGTCATGAACGGGATAAGTCTGAAGCAGAAAGAAAACAAATAAAAATTGAAGAACTAAAGGGCACCTTAGACGAAAAGATGAAAATATCAAAATTGTTACAAAGTCAAATCACAAACTTAGAAGTATGTCGACTTTAAGTAATTTATTCATTAATATGAAAACTTAACTAATTTTTCATTGTACAGTATGACATGAGAAAAATGACCAATAGTATTGCAAGTGACAACAATGAATTAGAGTATCTAAGAAACAAAAGGCAGGATTTAGTTCTTTTAACGGATGCAGGAGAGAAACAATTGAAAGCAGCTCAAAATTGTTATGAAGAGAAACAAGTAGAAGAAAGTGTTTTGCGACTTAAAGTATCACAGCTGGAGAAAATGATATCTAGCATTGGGAATAGTGTTTATGACTTGGAAAGATATCGACTCGAGTTGGAAGCAGTAAGTTCTTAGTATTATAGTAATTAAATTAACAGCATTAAATTTACTATCAGAGTAACTGTAATTATTTAGGCAGTGAAAGAACGCAAGGCAGAAATAGCTGTACAAAAAGAAACGCTTATCATTGAAAAGAGGATTGCTAATAGTGAATGTTCAGAAGTAAAAAATGCTATAGCTGAACGAAATATTCGAATAAAACAACTACAAGCAAGGTATGAAAATGGTATAGCTATGTTAGGCACTAATCCTGATGGTACTCCAATCAATACTACCCAATTGAAGATTCAAAATGCACAAGAAAGATATCTTTTACAAGAGCAAGGTGATAAGTTAGATGAAACCATAACGAAAACTGAACTTGAAATACAAGCCATGGAAAACACGTTAAGAGTAATAAATGTTTGTAATGACAAATACAAATTAACAACCTTGTCCACGGATGAAAAAAATAAACCTGAACAAGAAGAGCATAGAAAATTGGATGAAGAATTACAAAATATGGAGCAAACTTTAAAACAAAAAAATTGTGAACTAAACTGCTTAACTGAAAATCTACAGGTATTTTATAGTACAAATATCATTGTATTATTCCAAACATAAAATAAATTCTTGATTTTGATAATAGAATGATTTTAACAGAAAATGCAAAATGAATATGTTGGAGTCTTAAAACAGATTGATGAAATTCAAGAACAGAAAGAAAATAAAAATCAATACATGGTTGAGTTAAGGCAACAAATTCGTGAACAAGAAGGAAAAATATTAAGAGCTGACAAAAGTTTAAAAAATGTACAAAAAGCTATTCAACAAAAAAGTCTTACTACAGGGGATTCGTTAGTGCTTATACAAGAAGTATGTAAATTATAAATTATATTACCAATACATTTGCGTTAATAATACTTTTATTTTATATAGAAAGAGATAGAACTGCGTGAACTACAAGAACAAAATTTTATTCTTTCGCAAAATATTGCAGAATTTACAATTCACCATGTGGAAGCAGAAGCTTATATCAAGAAGCTTCTAGCTGCTAAAAATATGGAGTTACCATCTATTCCATTAACTATACAGACACCAATGTCCAATCATTCCCATAATTCTCCTAATTCGATAGAATATGTGTCAAATAGTACACATCGTAAAAGCATTATTTCATCATCTAGAGAAAGTATTGGTAAAGTTGTCAATATTATGCCTGAGTTTCAAAGTATGTCTATAAACAAGAAATTCGTTTTTATTTAATTTATTCTAATTATATCATTTATTAATATTAATATTATTTCAGCAATTGCATCAAAGGCTTCCAACAAAAGGTTTACAAGACATGAAAAACAATCATCTGTAA